GATTAGCAACATCGTAAACAATGGATATATTTGAAGTGGAGTGACACTATTTTCCTTTTGCTGCAAGAACAATGAAATCATGCACAACACTTTAGATTTCTTAAAAAGAAAGATTTCAATATTAAACTTATTTTTATGCCCCTCATACGATAGTAGCAGGGGCATTATGTTTTCTGGTCTGTGCGTCCGTTCGTTCGTCCGTCCGTTCGTCCGTCCGTCCGTCTGTCCCGCTTCAGGTTAAAGTTTTTGGTGAAGGTAGTTTTTGATGAATTTGAAGTCCAATCAACTTGAAACTTAGTACACATGTTCCCTATGATATGATCTTTCTAATTTTAATGCCAAATTAGAGTTTGACCTCAATTTCATGGTCCACTGAACATAGAAAATGAAAGTGCGAATGGGGCATCCGTGTACTATGGATACATTATTTTTTTTATTTATTTAGATGTTTTATGTTTCCACCTTCTTTTATGTATGTTATAAAATTGAGAATGGAAATGGGGAATATGTCAAAGAGACAAAAACCCGACCAAAATGCAGAAAACAGCCGAAGACCACCAATGGGTCTTCAACACAGCGAGAAAATCCCGCACCCGGAGGCGGGCCTCAGCTGGCCCCTTAATAAAAATGTGTACTAGTTCATTGAAAATGGACGTCATACTAAACTCCAAAACATATAAATGAGCTAAAATTAAAAAACATACAAGACTAAGAAAGGCCAGACGCTCCTGTCTTGGGACAGGCGCAAAAATGCGGCGGGGTTAAACATGTTTTGTGAGATCTCAACCCTCCCCCTATACCTCCAGCCAATGTAGAATATGATTACATATGAGTTTTTTTTTTTTAAAGAGGCAGGAGACACCATGGGACATTCAAAACTCATTAGTTTAAGAAAACTTGACAACACCATGGCAAAAAACAAAACAAACTACGAAAAATTGAAACGTCCACAAAACATTTCATAGAATACTAAAGACTGAGCAACACAAACTGGGGTAAACTCGGGTGCTCAAGAAGGCTAAGCAGCTTCTGTTCCACATGTGGCGCTCTTCCTGTTGAAGCTATTTCACTGAAATTACTGTTTTAGTACAGAATTATTCATTGTAATTATTTTATTATAGGTTGGTTTAGATGAGTCAGTGCTGATGGGTTTTATACAACTTAGATATGACTATAGGACAGCTAAACTGGCAACAGTACTTAAATAAGAAAAAAAAGAGAATTTGATTTTTGATGAGATCAATTAACTGTAAGAGGAGCAGCCTTGAACATCCTCTTAAAGAAGTGACAATGAAATACATAAGCAAAAACAATTAAGGACTGTAATAGTATATGTCTATATGAGAATAATGATTGTTTTATTAATGGAAGACATTTTCATCAGTATGAAGATGAAGAAAAGTACTTCATATATAGGGAAAGTGCAATAAATATTATCTTAGTCATAATTATATTTTATTTCATAACAAGTTATTTCAAGTTTCACCTTTTGTATAAAAAAAAATTCAAGCCTAAATTCCTATCATACTTGGATTTTAGTTACAGATTTGTTTACTTGCATCAAAATTTCACTGTTTGTATAAAACTAAAAATATACAATTCTACCATAAAAACTGTATAGAGTGAATCTGTATGATTTAAGGATAACTCATTTAAAACCATACAAAGGGAAGTAATTTTTAAAGTCAGTAAAACATGTTTTTCACATTTTAAAATGCATGTATTAATATTATAAAAGTTTTTTTTTTCCTTCTTATTTTTATGCATTACTGCTTAATATGTATATCTTCAGTCATTTCTTATACCTGGTAAATTTGAGATGTACATAACACTCATGGGACATAACTCTTTATAATTCTTCAGAATATGTTAATAGAATAAAGCATTTTATGTAGATAGACTAACAGTTTCATAGCAGATAAAACCGGTATTGCTATTGAAGTGGAATCCAGTTATTAGAATCCAATGAAAATTTCAAAATTTGTTCCTTGATATATATGTTTATCTCAAATGAAAATCATTTAAAAAAATGAAAAATGGGTATAGTATTTAGCTGAAGTGTTGGAAATTCCTCGTAAGTCAGTTGCTTATTCTTTATGAGAAGTTGACATCTCCTTCATAATAAGGATTTACAATTATTTTTTACTGATTTATTAATGTTTACTGTAATATTGATCTGTTATTTTTGTTATCAAATAAATATATCAATTAAGTTTTTTTATATTTAGATTCGATATTTTAAAAATTTTTGAGACTTAAAGATTTATACGAACAATGAAGAGTGAATGTCATACATGTTGAGGAAATCGACAGATTTATAAAAATTGGTCCAATTGATTTGGTATGGTAGTTTTATTGTTTCGCCTGCTAGGAAAAACACGGAATGCTATCGTTGGTTCATGTCTGTCATATCTGTTTTTCGTAAATTGTTTTGTTATAAATTAGGCTGTTAGTTTTCTCAATTGAATTGTTTCATATTTTTCATGTCAGGGCCTTTTATTGTCGACTATACGGTATGGGTTTCTTCTCATTGTTAAAGGCCATAAGATTGCTTATAATTGCTAACATCCACTTCATTTAAACTTTGGTGGATAGTTGTCTCATTGGCAATCATACCACATCTCCTTATTTTTATATAGACATAGGGATACAAATCAGACGGCAGCGGTGTAAACTGTTTGTATAAAGATTGATATTTCAGAAGGTAGAAGACAAGGGTTTCTCAAAACTTATAAAACAAAGCCTTACGCTTCCAAGATTTTGTTAGTCATATATGTCCATTGTCCTTGACCTCATTTTCAAGGTTCAGGGACTGCTGAAAAAATCTGTATAGTTTTCTTGAGACATGTAAACTATTCACTTATTATGATTAACAGGATAATAAAATTTGGTATATGGGATCCTTGCAAAGTATACATGTTCGTCAGACAGGGTTCAACTGACCTAAAAATAATTTCATGAATGAATGATCAAGGCTAAAGTTACGTGATACTATAAGCTGAAGGTCAATAATATTTGGTGTATGGAATGATTGTAAGGTGTACATGTCTTTCTGGCAGGTTTCCTTTAACCTTGTCCTCATTTGCATGGTTCATTAGCCAATGTGAAGGTTTTTTGTTTTGGTCTGTTTCTCAAATACTATAAGCAACATGTCAACAATATTTGATGCATTGAATGATTATAAAGTGTACTTTCTATCTGGCGGGTGTCATCTGACACTGACTCCGTTTTCATGGTTCATTGGTCAATGTTAACTGTATGTTGTTGGGTCCTTTTCATAGATACTATAAGCAATAGATCAGCTGTGTTTTGTTCATAGAATGATTGCTTAGAGTATATATGTCTGGCAGGGGTCATCTGACCTTTACCTCATTTTCAAAGTTCAAAAGTTTTCATGGATAGGTCTGTTCCTCAGATACTTCAAGCAGTAGGTCAACTTTATTAGATGTATACAATGATTGTAAGGTTTACATGTTCATCTGGCAGGGTTCATCTGACCTTGATATCATTTACATGGATCATTGATAATGTTAAGTTCATGTGATGCTTGTAGTAAAACTTTTATCTTTAAAACTTTCAACATTCAAATAATCAGTAAATCAGGGCTTACATTTCAGCGTGTGCACTCTTGTTAAGATTTCTATGATAATTTTTGCAAGATTCTGATGTTTGTCAGATGTTCATTTTCAAAACTCACCTGCCCTTTTTGGATCATTTGCCGTCTTTTGTCTGTTAAGTTTTTACAAAAATTTTCCCCTGAAACTACAGGGTTAATCTGAGTCAAACTAAACCACAATCGTCCTTGGTTATCTGGTTTTAAAAATATGTCTGATGATCCCGCCTGCCATTCAACATGGTAGTTAATGGCTTATAATAGAAAATGGAAGTAAAATGCATATATTGTATTTTTATCTTGTTAGCTGTTATTGAGAAAATCTGACAGGTGCAGAAATGTTCAGAATGCAAAGATCTAGCTACCTACTGTCCATTTTGAATAAACTGTCCTTAAGGAGTTATTGACATGAAATGACAATTTTTTACCATTTTTTGCAATTTTGCCTATTACTCTTTAAATTCATTAGCTTTAAAGAGAAACTGTAAATAGGAAAAATGATAAGCAGAACAAGATCTACCATTAAGTAATTTTTAACGAGATCGTCTGTCGACTCCTTATATGAGTTATTGCCCTTGAATGATGATGTTTACCCAGTTTTGTGTTTTTGGTACAAACTATAGTAGATAGAGATAATATCTGTAAAGATCAAAAATGACAAACAGAACAAGATAAACTTTAAGGAAAATTAACATGGTTGGAATAGGCAGTTGACCCCTTATAGGTGTTATTGCCCTTGAATGACAATTTCTACTCATTTTTATGTTGGTTTTTTGCAGAAACTTTGGTAGATAGAGAGAAACTTAAAATTGTAAAAATTGATCAGCAGGACAAGATCTAAACATAAGACCATATTGCTGAAATCTTTGGTTGACTTCTTGTTTCTGTAAGTTGAATGAGTTATTGTTTTCTTATTTTTTCTCAATCTTCTGTGGAATATATTTGCACAGTTCTGGCATAAGATATTCTGTTATATACATTTTTATTCAAGCAAAATTACAATCTGATTAAAATCAGGGGGGAGGGGGGGAGGGGATTGTGAGGATTATATCTGCCTGCAATATACCCCATCCCCAAAGTTATTGGCGCTGACCTCAACAGTTGACTGGGTATTGAAATGTGGTTTCATGGATCTCTCCGGTTTGCAGTAAACACCCATGTTGAGGTAGAGTTTGTTTTGATGTGAAGAATATACCTAGCATAGGCTACATCCCTATATAGATAGAAACTCTTGCCACTTGAATTGAAGCATACAATGATCAATAAACAACTTGACCACACCTTAAACTAAGATCAAAACAACCTCTATAGTGTCAATGAATGTAATTTAAAAGAAAGATGACAAGATGGAAAGAAAAAACAGTTGAGGCTTAAAAAAGTGACTAACTTTTAAAACATTTAAAAAGAATTTATATTAATATATTACAGACAATTGTTAAGAAATACAGATTAGATATAAGGCCAGAAAAACAACCACTCAATAAAAATGCTTCAAATCTGGTTGTTACTTCCGAAACATCAAAAGGAGTATCCAAAGCAGATCAAATTGTACAAAGTACCAGTTAACAAGTTTTGATATGTAAAGAACAATCAAGGGCATTTATTTATTTTTAGATATTTGAGAAATATGCTATATTTTTTGTTATAAAAAAGAGGGGTGTAATACCAATTTTCATCATGGGAAAATGTATTTTTAACAATGCATCCTGGGAAAATGTATTTTAACAAGTAGCTATTTTATAGCTGGTAAAGATATAACAAGAAATAACAACATTTAAAGATTATAAAAATAAACAAATATGAAAAATGCAAACATGATGTAAACAACGGAATCCTTCCTCCTTCTGAAAATCTAAAAATGTTCTCTTAAAATTTTACATTTAGATATGAATATTCTAGAAATGTGCATGTTTTAAAATACAAATTATCTAAAATGTGAACATTAAAAATCCCTTTATTTGAATATTAAAAATGTGCACATAAATCTTAAGGTGTTCATTGGCAAGATATAAAATATATTTCCAGTTGTTAATGTACAGGTTGGTAATTGAAACAGACATTTTTAGGCAAGAAATAAGCTCTTTTAGACTGTCAAGACTTTAACTTAACTTGGATAAGAAAATATATGCAAAGTAAATGCTTAATTTGGTTTTAACTTTTACTTGAATTAGATTCTAAGTGGATCATATTTTTTTCTGTTAGAATAAGATTAGTCCTATATGGTACTCCTGCAATTGTTTCTTACATTTGCTTCTTGGTTTAATTGTCAATTACACAGTTATTTCCCCTTTTGGATACTTAACACCATTAATTGATACATTGCATGACATAGATCCAAATATGTCCTTGTTATATCACATACTATTTTAACATTTGGAATACTATATTGAGTTTACACTATGACATGGAAAATTCTTGGTTAAATTGTTAATTACATAGTTAATTCCCCTTTGGGATGCTTAACACCATTATTTGATATATTGCATGACAAAGATCCATCCATAGATATATCACATACAATATTAACACTTAGGGTACAATACTGGAAAATAGTGTTAAGTGCAAGGGTTATATCAGCACTAGACGATTGCACCACAAAGTATGGAAAATCAGGTTTGTTTTTTATGTTAAACAAAAGTATATTTCATAATAGACAATTTATAATTTTCAGAATTTATGTATTTTCTTAAAAGTAGTGAGATCTCTCATCTTCTATGTTAAATGATATCCTGAATTCTGTGGTAACAGTTCTTTGGCATAAGTAAAACATGATATGTGAATCAAGTGCTATGTGAATCCATGATGTTTGTCTTTTTTCACTTTTACATTACAGATCTGTGCTTCTCTTCCTTTGTCAACTTGTACAGATCAAGCTGTCAAAAAAAAAATTATGAATTAATTCAGTAAAGTAGAATATATATTATCTAAGGAAGTATATTCACAGGGTTCTAATGTTGACTTACTTATATAAAATTATTTAAAGAACAATATTGTGTGTATCATCATATTTTAATACATGTATTGATATTTTAAGATACGCATTAACAATCATATAGATGTGAATTTTAGTATTTTAGGTAAGAGATGCAGGTCTTAATGAAAAAAAAGTATGGATCACGGAGCTTGTTTTTCAACCTAGGTAGTACAAAACTGTCAGATTTGTAAAGACATTCATGGGGAAAAATTGTTTGAATAGAAAGGAAATACAAGAATGTACTCGTTTCTTTGCTACAATTCAAAAGGTAAATTTACTATACATTCCTTTATAAAATTTAATATTCTGAGTTATCTCCCTTTATATGGGCAAGTTAAACAAAAATTGAATCAACCCAAAAATTTTATGAATTTGTAAAAACAGTTGCAATAATACAAAAAAATCGCATGATTTTCATCATTAAAATGAAAGATGTAACACATGAATTGATTTCCTTTCTCAAAATTTGAATATTTATTAGAAATCTAGACCAATTGTGTTCTGCTGTTTTTCAATCTGAGATGACATAAGACACCCAACCTACCCTAATAATAGGATTACTGGTTATAAGTCAAAGTAATTATTTAATTAAATAAAAAATTTTGATTTGACTATCCTTAGCCAATAATTTAGGCTATCACTCATTCAAAGTTTGGCTGATTTTTTTTTTGTACAAATTTTAGCAAGAAGAAATAGGTGATGATTGGCACATTACATTTTCCAAGAACTTAAATAATGTTGAAATAAAGTAGGTGCAGTTCTAACAGAAAAATAATTTGCTCTCTATTATTTTTACATTGCCATTGTGGCCAATATTGAAAACACTTTAAATCTTAATACTTTATAAAAGTTTATGCCTGGTAAACTAATTGCTATAAAGCATTAATATAACATAATACAAATTACCGAATCATTGTAAATATTGTCAGCAGAATTATACAATACTGATAACTGGTAGTGAAACGGTAATGAAACATGATAAAACTAATTTTATTTGTGTCATTGGGTTGCTGTCTCATTGTTCGTATTTGACAAAGTTGCATTAAGTGAGTGATACTTGACCAAGTTGGGTGTAAGTAGAATTTAACAGTTCTAGATCAATGTACATTGAGTTAGTAGACTTACACAATAATGGGCCAATAATGATTGAATTTGTGGACAAATAAAGCATTTGAAGAAGGTCCATTCATTGTGTCATTGATAACATTGGTAGTTTCTTGTTCCCCACTCATAAGTATGTTCTTTCACTTTTTATTACGTTTAGGAACAACAGCCAATACTTTATTATTTTTACTGTGACTTGATTGTTAGTGTTGCTCTCCACCAATTACAATTTATTCTAAATTCTGACCAAATTGCAATTTTTAATTTATAAAACCAAACTGCTCAACTGGTCAGAAATTTGAACAAACTGCTGTAGAAAACCACAGTAAAGTCGTGAAAGTGCAAGGTTATAAAATAAAGCATACTTACAATCCTTCAAGACTTTAATTCCACTTCCATGTTATTACGAAAAATCAGTCTAACAGTTTGTATAGAAATTTTATTGTTATTGTCATGCTAAAGGTGATAGGTAGTAATTTTGAATTGCTATAAAAATGTCCAAACTAAGCTTTCACACAATTTTTTTTTCGAAAAGTCTTCTATATTCATAAGAATCAGACATCATTTGAATTAAAACATCTTATATTCAGTAAAATATATGTGAAATTACAAAACGTTGTTAATAAGTTCCATGGGAGATAACCTAAAACATTATTCTTTTGAATATAGAAAACTTTTCGAAAGAAAAATTGATTATCTCCCATGGAAACTTATTAACAACGTATTGTAATTTCACATATATTTAACTAAACATAAGATGTTTTAATTCAAATGATGTCTGATTCTTATGAATATAGAAGACTTTTTCAAAAGAAATATTGTATGAAAGCGTTGTTTGGACATTTTTATAGCAATTCAAAATTACTACCTATCACCTTTAGCATGACAATAACAAAGAAATTTCTATACAAACTGTTAGCCTAATTTTTCATAATAACATTGAAGAGGAATTAAAGTCTTAAAGGATTGTAAGTATGCTTTATTTTATAAACTTGCACTTTCACGACTTGACTGTGGTTTTCTACAGCAGTTTGTTCAAATTTCTGACCAGTTGAACAGGTTGGTTTTATAAAACAAATTGCAATTTGGTCAGAATTTTGAATAAGTTGCAATAGGTGGAGAGCAACACTAACAGTCAAGTCACAGTAGTAGGAAATTATGTGTGAGCACCGTAAGGGATGAAAGGTGTAATTTGATCAGTTTTCTCCTTTTTAGCAAAACATTTAGAAATAATGTATGTATTATAGATATTGTCTATTAGCAGAAAGAACATGAAGAATTTATTAAAGGGGAAACAGAGGTTTTTCTCTTTTTTTCAAATGATACAAATTTTTGTACCTCATTTTCATCACTGGCTTTGCTTTCAGATGACCTACTACTAGCCGTTTTGTCTTTAGAAGATCCATCACTGCTGTCAGTATCACCCAGTTCTGGACTGTCTACATTATCTTTGTCCTCTGAATTGCTTCCACTGTCCTTTTGTTTTCCATAATTCTTCCAGAAATCACCTTTGCTCTTGTCATTCTTTTGTTTCTCGTTGTTTGCTCTATGGTTCTTCCAGAATTCAGCTTTACTTAAAATTTCGTGTGAGTTTTCATCTCCATTTTTATCTTTATGATCCATCCAATGACGAGATTTGTGCTGCCTTGGTTTGTGTCTCTGATTTCCATAATTTTTGTATGTCTTCCAGTATTCTGCTTTAGACAATTCTTCTGAGGCATTGCTTTCATCGGATTTAGAGGCTTCCTCTGATTTCTATTAAAATATCAAAAAGAATTGTTTGGAGAAGATTCTAAATTTTTGTCTGTTTTTTAATTATTTGCTTAGCTATTGAAGTATATACATGTATTACTGTAACTTGAACAATTAAAAGAAGCTCTATCAAAAAGAAGGAATATTAAAAGCTCTGTGAAAAAAGAAGGAATATTGAAGCGTTCTATGGAATAGAAGGAATATTAAGAGCTCTTTGAAACAGAGGGAATATTAATGAGCTCTATGATAACGAAGAGATTTTTGATAGCTCTGTTAAAGAAAGGGGATGTTACTCACCGATGAGTCCTCGTTTCGTTTTAGATCAGGATATGTTATTTGATTGGAACCACCCTCCTTAAGCTGTTCCGTGTCATCTATATCTTTAATCAGTTTCATTTCATTCGAATCCTGGTTTATTATATCACCAGCTTCAAACGAACCACCTTCTACTGGAAATGTCATGTCTATGGTCTCTTCTGGTTTCTCTTTTTGTCTTTTGTTAATTTCTATCATTGGAAAATATATTTAAAGATATACAGCCAGAGCATAAGAAAATAACAAAATAAGGCCAAAATAGCTTTTTTTCTTTGAGTGTGATCTAGTGCTGCTGGTTTATTTTTTATTTTTTTATTTTTGTGAAAGTGTTCCCTCCTGGTTTGCGGTAGGTTTTGAACGTGTAATCAGTGACCCAAAACAAAAGAACAGAAAGCAGAACAGAAAATAAGTTGCCTAAGTAATAAATTTGATAAATGACAGAAGAAATAAGAAACGATATTCATTTTAATGGTCTGTAACTGCATAAAATATTCGCCACTGGACATTCAGCAAACTACGACCAATCAATCATTTGATTGAATGAATGGATGGAAAAACTGATAACTTAAAGATTTGACGTATTGCGTTTCCAATGCGATTTCCTTGATAGAGGGTTACTGCTTACATGTAAGGTATTGTGTCAAGGGTTACAAATGGTACAGTTGAAGTCACCCCTTCCAAAGTTTACAGACGACATCAGGATTTGATTGACTACTATGAGATACTGGAGGGATTTTTCCGTTTTGATTCCTGCTTTTTTAGGCAGTGGCTATATTGCCGGCGCCGTCAAAAGATAAAATATGCTATTTTGTCGGCTCTGATTAAAATATCTAAATTAAAGCCGGCAAAAAAGCATATTTCTATAGCAATGCCTATTTTGCCCGTCGCCGGCAATATAGTGAATTTGTTATTTTGCCGGTTCTTTGTAAAGAGAGAACTTTAATATTTACTTGTAAAAAGAACCAATAAAATGTGCATTGTCAACATAAAAGAATCAAATTATTACTCATACAGTTAAATAAGATATTGAGCATTCATTTGCAGCAATGAAATCATATCAAAACAAATAGTTGAAATTACAATGTACTTCTAAAATCAGTCACAGTCTAATGCTACATGTATACATAAGAAAAAAATCTCAGATTTTTTAACTGTTTGTTGTAAAAAAAAAAAAGTTAAAAATCTCATTGCATATAAATTTGATAAAACATTATACAATCTAACAAAATCAATCGCATAGCTTCAAAATTTACAAACGTTTAAACCAAATTTGGTTTTGAAAGAAGCTAGTAAGTTATTTGAATTGCATATCTGTAAAGAAAAATCATTTTTACTGGCAAAATTGGCTTCTACTTACCTAGAGCCGGCAAAATAGCATATTTCAATTTTGCCGTAGCCGGCAAAATAACCACTGCCTTTTTTTTAAATTTTTATCTTGTTCACTACTTCCTTAATTGCCCTGTATTTTGATTGATGGAATATTCATTCTCATATAGTCTTGTCGCTGTTCCTTTGTTTTTTGTGTTTTTTGTTGTTGTTGCTGTGCATGTACTGATTTTGTGTCATGGATGGATACCCCATATCCTTTGTTTTTCTTTTAAAGTAATGTCAGTTATTACCACGCTAGAGTATTCATTTCCGTTATGCTCCAATCCCCTGAATATCCAATGATTATCTCCTTAGTTTACAACAATCCTGTCCCCTTTTCCTCGATTGTGACATCACCGAACGCCACTCACAACCAAATTTTCACTTGCAATCGGAGTAAAACGACTGGTGTTTAAAGTAAAGCAGGAAATGCTTCTTTTCCGGAGCACCTGAGTTCACCTCCTGGATTTTGTAGGAGTTGTGTTGCTCCATCTTAATTTCTTTGTACAGTGTTTTGTTATTATTTTTTTTATCTTTTCGTCGTTTTTCTTTTTGGTCATGGTGTTGTTTATTTTTATTGAACTTATGATTTTTATCGCTCCTTGGTGTCTTCTCTCTTTCTAAAAGTAATAATCGATAAAACGGTAGAACGGTGTTTGTTGTATTACACCAGTGAATATCGTAAATTCCTTATCATATATATGTTGTGTACAAGCTATCATTTTGTACAAATTATAATTTGTACAAAAAAATTGTACAAATTATAATTTGTATTTTGACTTTGTACAAATTGTAATTTGTACAAAAAGTGCATGTACAAATTACAATTTGTACAAAATTCGACTAAAATTCACTTATAACTTGTATAATAATTTATAGTATGGATTTTGTTATAAAAAAAGCATTGATACACACTATAGAATATAATAAACCTTATTTACAAAATACAAAAATACCTAGAGACAGCAAATGTAATTGATACATGCAAGCCAGTTAATTCTGATAGCACAATAGAAATTGGCCCCTGTGACAATTCTGATAGAATAATAAAAAAATGTCCTCAGTGACAATTCTGATAGTATAATAGAAATTGGCATCAGTGAAAATTCTGATAGTATAATAGAAATTAGCCCAAGTAAGAATTCTGATAGTATAATAGAAATTGGCCCCAGTGACAATTCTGATAGAATAATAATAATTGGCCTCAGTGGCAATTCTGATAGTATCATAGAAATTGGCATCAGTGACAATTCTGATTGTATAATAGAAATTGGCCTCAGTGACAATTCTGATAGAATAATAAAAATTGGCCTCAGTGACAATTCTGATAGTATCATAAAGATTGGCCCCAGTGACAATTCAGATAGTATAGTAACAATTGGCCTCATTATTCTGATAGTATCATAAAAATTGACCTCAGTGACAATTATGATAGTATCATAAAGATTGACCCCAGTGACAATTCTGATAGTATATTAGAAACTGGCCCCAGAGTCAATTCTGAAAGTATCATAGAATTTGGCCCCCGTGACAATTAGGATGACACTGACGTTGAAACACCAATCATACGTGCAAGGAACCGTGCGCTGTCTGGCCAACAGATCCAAAACGAATATCTAACCATGAAAACGAAACAGACATTATCAGAACTTGCTGTGGGGTATAATATCATTATACCAATTCTTCAGTATGATCGTACCCCAACTGATCCTCGAAATATCTTATATGTAATCATTGAATCTGGAGAATTTGGGTACCGCACTGGAACTGCTGTAGGAATTTGAACAGGATATTTGTCGAGAAATCAAATTGAAGCTGTTAAAGACACATCGTTATTCGCAGCAACGGTTTCTGAGCTTCGACTTTCGCTACGTGAAGCAGATAAAAAGCTTTCAAAAACTGGTGGTTAGGGTTTTCTTTCATGTAAATGCAAAGGGGGAGCAAATTGTAAATGTAAAAAGCAAATGATGTTGTGCAATTCCTGATGCAATAATTCACTCACATGCTCAAACAAATGATACAGAACTATTTTTTGTATTTTTTAAATAAGGTTTATTGTGTGGTCATGGAATACAACTTCTTTGGTGTGTATCAATGCTTTTTTTATAACAAGATCCATACTATAAATTATTGTATAAGTTATAAGTGAATTTAAGTCAAATTTTGTACTAATTGTAATTTGTACAAGCACTTTTTGTACAAATTACAATTTGTACAAAGTCAAAATACAAATTATAATTTGTACAAATTTTTTGTACAAATTATAATTTGTACAAAATGATAACTTGTACACAACATATATATAAAAATGGTTCACTCAAACGGTAAATAACAATTTGTGTAAAAGTAAATAATTTTTTTTTTCAATTTTCGAATGGACTGAGATTTAATAATAACTTTTTTACAACCTATATATTTTACTTACCATTGTAAGATCCCATCTTTTTTACAACCTTCTTTGGAGCCTACAAATGAAATAAGGACTTGAACACTCGTCTTAGATTTTTAATCTTTACTATTATTAAAAGGAGGTCAATATATATCTATGCATTTAAAGTCAATTTACAGTAAATCAGCTACTACATGTATATTAAAATAAGAAGATGTGATATGATACTAATATGTCACAGATTTTGATAAAATTTTGCATACAACTTTGGATCGTTGAAAATTAAAAAAAAATAATGCATTTATCTTTTTTATTTTCTGAAATATTATTGAATGATACATAACCAAATTCGTATACCATTAGCCAAAATTTTCTTACCCTGAAACTTTACCTAATGTGCAATTTTGAAATTGAAAGACGTTTTTCATGACAAAGGATAGACAAGACTGTTACTGGTATAAACAACACAGACATTGAAAAATTAAAAAGCAACTAAAGCAACAAAAACACGAACCCCTTTTTAACAAAACTAGGGGTGATTTCAGGTGCTCAGTAAGGGTGAGTAGATACTGCTCCACATGTGGCACCCGTCTGGAGACATATACTCCATATGCAGGCGCTCCTGGAATGTTGTTACATAGAAATAGAAAGTTCAGTGAGAAACTTTGAAATCATCTCTTTTGTCGTAAAGTTTTGTTCTCAACAGACCCACATTGACAATTCTAGATGTAAATCAAGACTTATCTGTATCTGAGGTGTCCTTTATTTCAAAAAAGATGGGAAAGATGTATGCGTTCAGCATAGTCACCAAACTTTGAATAATTTGGTGAGAGGACATCATCTATAATGGGAACGTGAAGTTAAAAGGAAATGCTATCTTCTTTTCGTTCTTCTTGAGAAGCTACTGTATGAAGTCGACAGACAATGAATAGAGAAACAAGTTGCCATGAATAGGAGCACAGTTAGTTTTAATGGGAATGCCGATTGTTTGTTGAAAAACACGTCATCAAAACGTATATCAAGAAATCAATCATCCTAACAACGTCAGTTTTAGAGAATCGGATTTGTTTTTACAAAGTATGATGAATCCCTTCCTAAAACAAGATATTTCTTTTTGTATCTAAGTTGGTCATTCTTTTTTACGAAAAAAAGTTGGTCCAATTCTTGTACAAAAATACTTGTGTAAAGGGTATAAAAGTCAAATGTTTTTTTTATACAATTGAAATATGAAAGAGACTTAAGCCGTGTTCACATTGAGCTAAACTCAGTGTGGTGTGAACACGACCTGAGATTGTATGTACATTAACTGATCTTTGTGTTTGTTTAGTATCCACATCTGATTCACACTGCGCCTAAAGTAGGTAGTTTCACAATAACTCTTAAGCCCGGCTTTGATTGCTTAATAGTTTGGAAAGAGGTTTCGTGGGCACTTGGAAAACCCAGGAAATATAACGTCGTTTGTAAGGACACTTATGTAACTTTGTTATCCAATACAGTTAAGGAAGATCCAGTTTTGCATCTTTGGTTGAAATTTCAAAGAAACATAGAACAGACCTATGATTTCCTCTCTGATAAGTGTCGTGGTGGTATATGTTGAGTTTTGAAGTGAACTGTCAGTATCTAATTCTTCGAAGCGAGTTTAAAAGAGTTGTGAAATAATTTAACAGCTTATCAAAATTCTACAATTAACACCAAATTTTTCTAATGACAAAACCATCAAGATATAACAGAATTCAACCACTTTAGAATTTCTTGACCTTTGACGTACAGGCACTTGGTGACCTTGGACAGGCACATGCTGATCTTGGACTGGCATATGATTTCATTGGACAGGTACATGAACATGGATTTATTGCGTGGGTGGAGGCACTGATGGTTATCAACAATACAGACTCTTTTCGAAACACATTGTCAATTAAATTGTTTAAATCGAATATACAATTCTATGGTCTGAACTGCAAGATCTGCAATGCTAATGTCCCTTCGATTAAACCAGAACATATATCCAATAATGCGTTTAATCATCTGCCTATTATATGATAACTTTCTTGATAATTCTTATATCTGGGGAATAAAATATGAGTTATTTACGTGGTAATACACCAAGGAGGTGGCATGTTTATTGTATCAATGTGAATTTTATATTAGTTAAGATTAATTGTTGGTAAATAAAGAGAAAACTTATAGTACATTTCACCGGGAAACTCGTACTAAACTGCTTATATAACATTGGCTGTTAAACGTAAGTCAACCATAAAAAAGAGGCGCTCAAGAACCAGAATTGCGCACCTGCTAGAACATATGCCATTTTGATATTTATTTGATATTTATTTTTTTTCCTTTATTCCTTATTTGTAGATCTTATTTAGTGGCGTTTTTGTAGATCTTGTATTAATTCTACTTGATTTTTGATTGGCCGCCTTAGAATCGTCTATTTTTCCTTCCTAATGTTCGTGCTGAAGCGAACAGCTGACTCCATGCAACTTGTATTTACTAATCGATTGTAGACCTAATTAAATCCTTTTATTCTCTAACATTACATTTTCATGTTAACCGTATTTTTCACAATTATTGAAAAGTTTTACCGGTTCTTATATGTCTCGCATTACGGTCTTTACAATGCATTCAGCTGTCTATGGACATAACTGTAGGCAGTTAATTGTGTAATTTTCCAAACAATTGGAATTTCCTTTTGATATTTCATGGGTTTATAAATTTTCAGTGAATCTTGTTTTTCTTCTTTAACTATACATAAAAAAGGAAAACAAGATTCAACTTGCTTTCAGGGAATTTAGTTTAGAAATGAAGAATAGTTCAAGGTCATATCATATGAGTTGTTATTCTTTATTTTGCGATCGTATCATGTATACTCAGATACCTTGGTTGTATTTCTGAAAGCATTAATAATCAAACTCAGGCTATTTGTCACTCTTTTCAATATTCTGAATGCACTTGGACAGCGATAGTATTTAAGCCTGCTCACATTACGACATTCAGTCTCTTTGTGCAATTAGGGTAAAGAGCATTTTAATTTGTAACTTTCAAATCGCATTTCTGGATTTACCTCAATCAGGAATGTGCAAAGCTAAGCGCAAACGATATCCCAATTTGTTAAGTTCTCGCATTAACCATGATTGCTTCTTCCACCTAAATCCACAAATCCTTGAAAGTGATAGTTGTAAATATGGGAGGACTTTAAAAAAGTTACCTGTTGAAGTTGTGGTGGAGGTAACTGAAAGTCACGTGGAGGTAAATCAACCGGAAGAACTATATCATCCTTATTAGACCCTGTGTCGTGTTCTGATGATAAAACCTGTTCTGCTAGATTCCTTTCCTCGCCTAAAAAGTAAAGGGTTTAATGTTTACCAAACATGAACCTTGCAACAACAGCTTACATTACAATACTATGGGATTTTAGGCATTGTAGATTTTGCGTCGATGACTTGAAGATGAATAATGTATGTACAACTTTTCTTTTCGGGTTTTTTTTTCACCTTGTTTTGCGTGAAGCTATCATTGACTATATACCGCACATTAACCCATACACTTTTATTAAGGATGTTCGCTATTCTGTTTCAAAATAACAAGCTTTTTAAAAGACTGTTATAAGTTGATAATATATAAATAAAGGAACTAAAAAAGCGGAAAAATGAAGGGTCAGTGTGTTTGTTTTGAAGATATAAGCCATTGAAAATTTAGCGGGAAATGATTCTCTCTAGATTTTTCATACATTTAACAAGGCACCTTTTTTCTTTCAAAAACTATGAAAAAATAACAAGGATTTGATAAGATTTTCAAATATGGCTTTTTAAACAATATGTTATAAAAATATGAAAAGAAACGCAGAGGTTTGCGGGCAAAATGTTTTTATAGCACTACATGAATAAAACCAGAGGATTCCGAATATCTGGCAAAAATTTAAAAAAAACAAGAGGAGCGAACATCCTTAATAGATTTTAACACTAACTTATTTTTTTTACTGTGCTTTAAATTAAATTGATATTGAACATTTAGTAACAGTGTTTTTGGTAATTATTGTTTCTCACGAAACTGCGACGATTCTCGATTGATCTCAAGCAAATTTTATATCAAATTAGTTAGATTAAACTTTATAAATTTGGGGCATCCGAAGCGTTTTTCGGGATTAACCGTCATCAGCAACACAAAAATGAAAATGAAAACCGGGAATGTATAATACTTGTGGAGCAACATGACCAAAAAGTAACCTAAGCAAAATAATAAATTTCCAACTCCAGGATAAATATTCAAATATCAGATATATTCGGAGCACATCAACATGACCAAACAGTGACCTAAGCAGAAAAATAATTTTCCAACTCAAGGATGAATATTCAAATATCAGATATATTCAGAACACATCAACATGACCAACAAGTGACCTAAGCAGAAAAATAATTTTCCAACTCAAGGATGAATATTCAAATATCAGATATATTCGGAGCACATCAACATGACCAAAAAGTGACCTAAGAAGAAAAAAAAATCCAACTCAAGGATGAATATTCAAATATCAGATATAATCGGAACACATCAACATGACCAAAAAGTGACCTAGACAGAATAATACGTTGACTTTTATTATTCTGACAACTTTGAAATGCTCTTCGATTTAGCATATCAGCTGTTAATTTCCATGAAATATCTGAGTGTCCTCCGACAATTCATATATACAGTCACATACCACTTAGAAACATTCTTACAAATCATATATAATTCACATAATAGCTATTTGCATTCTAACAATTCACATACCAGCTATTATCTTTCTGACAATTCACATACAATACACATACCAGCTATTAGATTTCTGACAATTCACATACCAGTTATTAGCTTTCTGACCATTCACATACCAGCTGTTAGATTTCTGACAATTTCCATACAGTACACATACCATCTATTAGATCTCTGACAATTCACATACCAGCTATTAGCTTTCTGACAATTCACATACAATACACATACCAGCTATTTGCTTTTTGATAGTTCGCATACCAGCTGTTAGCTTTCTGACAGTTTATATACAATTCTCATACCAGCTATTAGCTGTCTGACAATTCACATTCATTACACATACCAGTTATTAGCTCTTACATTCATATACAATGCACATACCACCTATTAGTTCTCTGACATTCATATACAATACACATACCAGGTATTAGCTTTCTGACAATTCATATGCAATTCACATTCAAATACCAGCTATTTGCTTTCTAGCAATTCACATACAATTCGCATTACCTTTATGACAATCCAGATATACAATTCACATACCAGCTTTTAGCTTTCTGGCATTTCATATACAATCCACATACCAGCTATTAACTTTCTGACAATTCACATACGGTTCACATACCATCTATTAGTTTTCTGACACGCATACACAATTCACCTACCAGCTATTATCTTTCTGACAATTATCATACAATTCACATAGCAGTTATTAGCTTTCTGACAATTCATTTACAAATCACATACCATCTATTAGCTTTCTGACAATTCATACACAATACACATATTAGCCGTTATCTTTCTGGCAATTCACATACATTTTACATACCAGTTATTAGCTTTCTATCATTCATTTACAATTCACATACCAGCTACTAGCTTTCTGACACCAGTGCATATACAGCTCACATAGAAGCTAGTAGCTTTCTAATAATTTATATACGGTTCGTTTACCAACTTTTGCCTTTCTGACAATTCATATACAGCTCACATACAAGCTAGTAGCTTTCTGACAATTTATATACAGTTTTACCTTTCTGACAGTTCATATACAGTTCACATACCATCTACCGGTATAAGTTTTCAGACAATTTATATACCAGCTTTTAGCTTTTTGACGATTCATAAATAATTCACATACTAGCAATCCACAAAAACAAAGAAAATTGATACACACGAATAAAAGTACGTTCACAGTAAGAGCTATTCGCTTTCCGACTCTTGTACATAGTTATCATACCAGCTATTAGCTTTCTCACTATTCCTATACAATTTACATACCAGCTATTAGCTTTCTGACGATTTCTGGATGGTCTCTGAGCGTCAACAAAACATCTCTGATAACATTTCCTACATCTATTCCTTTGGCAGCATTCCCCCATTCTCCATCGTCTTTGTCCTCGCTGTTATCTGATGATTTTGTGATTGTTGGCTTTTGAGATTCCAGTTCCTTTTCCAAGTTGATCACCTTTAGTTATAGCAGAAACATTAATGTAGATTTTATATTTATATATCTCATATTTGGTGTAAAGTACATTTATTTGTATAAAGTTAAGAATAGCAATTAAAAAATGTTCTTAATTCACCTATAATTACTCAATTTACCCCCTAAAAGAAGAAGAAGAAAAAAAATTGTTCACAAAAAATTAGCGGTGAACACAAGTTCTTTTTATGACTTGTTGGGGCCGTGTGACGTCACAGTACATTCCATAAAAAAAATTGAAATTCTACGCGGCCACGGCAACTCATATAAAAAGGTCGTCAGACATCAGAGCAATCCCAGACTTAATAAACTTAAGCAGCTTAAAATACCAGACAAATTATGGATGGCATTTCTTAACGAATTGACCAAGTTTTTCTGCATGTGGTACAAAAGGAAGGAATAAGAAAAGAATACTTTTAATAATAGCAAGTGAACTGCATAACTTACCTCTTTGTTTTCCTTTTCTACTTCAGTAGGTTTCATCAAAACTGAAAGACAGAATATTGTTTTTTTTTATTTTAATTGATTACATAAATATATCATATTTTCACATCCCCAGATAAAACTGGTTTAATTTCTTTGAACATACAAACATAAATCTGCATTTTTCCCGCTTCTCAATCATTTCGCATAATTTACAGAGGTTACTGATTGTCCACGTCTTATTTTCTTTACATTTTTTACTCAAATGTGAAAACAGCAGCTTATCTGTAATGATCGACCGTTATGATTGCTTGGTTATTGTTTCATTAATGTCCAGTAGCAAATATTTCATGAATATTCAGGACGAGGTCAAATAACAACTAACCTGAACGGTAGACTCTGCTAAGTGAAGAGACCAGGGTGAAGAAGAATATTGTAATATTATAAAAGTAAGGTATGTTGGATTGGGAAAAAATTTAGTCCTGCAACAGTCCACGTACGGACCCCCCTCCTCTAATAGTTGTTGCTAAAGTTTTTTTAATATGCAGAAAGTGTTGCACTTTCCCTACACGAGGCAGGAATTTAACGTCCCCATTTCAACGGGACGTGCCTGCGTACTTATACATCCTGCATAGCCAAACGGAAAACCATGCACGTTACACGTGTTTTACTGCCTTACTTTACCCCAATCAATAACATTTTACTACACCAGATGCGCATTTCGACAATAAATGTCTCTTCAGTGATGCTCGAGGCTAAAAAATAATGAAAACAACACGTTATAAATTTCATGCGTCCGAAGCGCTTTTCTGAATTTGCCTTCATCAGGAACACTCAAAGCCGGATACTTGAAAGCCAAGGATGTATAAGAACCGAAACAGTTGAAGAGCTATAAAATATTTGAAAACCAAAAACTTTTTTTGAGCTGATAAAACCATAAAGGACAAAAAGTATAGCCAAAGACGGTCAAGAAATCAGAGCTTTGCAGGAGGGATTATACATTCCTTAATTTAAAGTAAGTTCAAAAATTTTGTAACAGAAAATTATCATAACACAATATCCGTATTTTCATGCCAGTACTTCGGTACTGGCTGCTGGGCTGGTGGTATCAACCCTTTGGATAAAAAAACCAACAAACTTTTTTTGAGATTCGTATTTATAAATAAGAAGATGTGGCATGAGTGCCAATGAGACAACTCTCCATCCAAGTCACAATGTGTAAAAAGTAAACAATTATAGGTAAAAGTGCGGCCTTCAACACGGAGCCTTGGCTCACACCGAACAGCAAGCTATAAAGGGCCCAAAAATGACGTGTAAAACAATTCAAATAGGAAAACCAACGGTCTAATCTATATAAAAAACGAGAAACACTTATGAACCACATCAACAAACGAAAACCACTGAACAACAGGCTACCGACTTAGGACAGGTGCATACAAATGCAGCGGGTTTAAACGTTTTAGCATGATTACTAGTGTTGTCAAATTGAACATAATTATCTAACATAGGATCTTTTATACTGATAACTGAATACACTAGATATATTTAGTCCGCAGTAGATGGTTGACGCCTATATAATTCGGATTAATTGCAAATTTATGTACAATATGATCTGATCGATAGATTCAAGAGATATGCGCAATTCTAGGTCATTTAATATTAAAAATAAATTTGAATCCATTTTTTATGATCCAGTAAATCAAGGTTATGCCTTCTTTGGTTTAGTTAAATAATTAGGTCATTGAACATCCACATTAGTTCAATAGCCTCATCGTAATTCTAAGATTGCAACATGAAAAATATATAATGACAGTAGGTGGTAAGTCCTTTGAAGATCATGATGCTATAAAATTCTAATAACAGTGGTCGAAACGTATTCAACAAACACGACAGTTTTAGACGCACAGTAAACTTGTCATTTGTGGAAAGTGGCTAAATCCGAGGGATTTCTCAACATAGAAATGTATAATACAACCAAATGATACCAGCAAAAAAAAAGACATGCCAAACAATCCGAATTCATGAACAATGGCAATGATTAAAGCCCTGTAGAAAGGTTTAGTTTTCCAACTCCAGTTTCTGCTGTAAAACTATTACTTAAGTGGTACGTCCGGTGGGCTGTGTGGAATGATAAATACACAGCTACGTCCGGTCGTAAAAAGAGGTGTTAAGTCCGATGCCTCGTGTAGAGAGAGAGAGAGAGTGTCATGCTCTCTGCCTGATAAATAACCCTTGCTCTTTGAGTGTATGTATGTAGCCTATTCTAAGGCTAAATTTCTGCCCTATCAAACTTATCCTCATTGCCAGTGGCAGTCCAAATTGTCCACCTTTATACCGATAGGCCTACCGTGCAGACCTGCCTATTGTATTAATTGTTTATGGTTTCTCATCCTGAATATGCATGAAATAATTGCCACTGGATGTTAAGCATGCAACAATTAATCATCATGCATATTTGTTGTAAATAATATTTCGCTACATGACATTAGCATCTCATGTCATTTTTTCCGACTGTCTTCACTTCTACGCACCATTACTCAATCATTACAAAAAAAGGTTATTTGGACGGACTGACTAGAATAATCGAATCACGATATCCGTCGGTTGTGTTAAATGTTGCTTTACAATTATTTTAGTTATGACTAAGAGTTGTCTAAACAGTTGTGTGCTGTTTAAATTCAGATTGTACTGCGACCTTACTATTTTTGTGTTTTTCACTTTCATTCTTTGTAATTTTGTTTGTTTGGGATTTTCATTGTTTTTTTTTTATATTATTTGAGGATGTTACAGAAATGAGAATTTTAGAAATGCCACTCCTCTTAATGGTGAATAAAATAACAATTAATCTTTCCCCACCAAAACACAGACAATAAAATTTGCAGAATTAATTCTAACATAAAATAAACTGTAATGGTATTTTCTGAACTATCATTTAACGTGGGATAATGGAACGGAGTATTATTTGTATAATGTTACAATTTCACTATTATGCTGAAAATTACAGTATCATTTATAATTGGAAAGTTTATGATTGACGTTGATTGAAATTTGATTAGATATTCCGAAGCAGTCTTAACCATTCTGTTTATTGGCGAGGTTATTCATGTTATTATAGCATACTATATTATTTCAAAAAAACTTTTTAAATGCTAAATATCCTTTACAGATATGATCAGATATAGAATCAGTTTAACATTTAAAACTCAGAATATTAAATGTTTAAAAGTGAAATCAGAGTGTTGTCGTCTGTCAATAATATATTTGTCAAGCTATTAAAGAACATTGTAATATCAAATTTAAAATGTCATATGTTACACAAATTACTTTGTTGAATGGCATCGTCTGTTTATTTATTACTTGGAAGGAAATTAATAAACATTAGATATTGGAAAGTTTCATAGAATAAAAATTCGAAACGAGTAGAGAAACTGACGTAATCTAGTGATGTTAAGTATAGCCAGGAACCATATTAAAATAGACGTTTAAATCCCGTCACGTGTTAAAAACATCGAGTATTGTTCAATTAGATGTCAGCCCTGCAACAACATGACGAATGCGATATACCAGGAGCTCTCAAGAGCCTTAGTTTAATCGCTCTCCTGACATTGATCAGACTGACACGTTGCATTTGAAGGCATATTAAAAATAAAATATAAAACGAATTAAGAAGTTTCCATGTATTGGTTTCAAAGTGACGCAGTCTAGAGCTCTGAAGCATCAATTAATCAAAATGTATTATTACACTGACTGCAATGATGAATTTCAATAACTGTCTGCCAATCAAAAAGAAAGTAAACCGATTTTATATTTAATATTTCATACTTCAAGGGTTCATTCAGGAGGGTCGTATTGGGGGTACCTTCATGACGAATAACGGTAAAAATTCTTGCCAAATGACGTTAACGGTAATTTTTGTTGCATTACGATAAATGTACACTTTCTTTACGAGGTTAAAAATATCGACTGATTTTGACAAATCACGCTAAATTTTTCCCAAAAATAACGGTAACGATAATTCTTTGAGACCTCTAACGAATCACGATAAGGATATTTTGACGAATCACGGTAAAATTTTAACCAATTTGACGCTAACGGTAGACGAAAATGACCGTTTGACGCCTCACGGTAAAGGGCATTCCTACCCTCATTCAGGTAAGAGTAGGAGGGATAACAATCGGAATCGAGTTGTTTTGATTATAGTCCGAACTAAGCTTTTAGTCAGGTGTCTCAGCAAGGTAAGTATCGTCTGCTACATATCCGTAACCCGTCGTGCGATTCCAAAGTCCGCCGACGCAGGAACTCGACGACACCGGTAATAGTATCGGATTCATATTAGTCAAAATGTTATATTTGAGTCTGACAAAGTTGAAATGTCACCAGTGAGCTGAGAAAGTGAGGCAATAACAATCAACTAATTCATCATCCCAACCAGAGTCAATGCGGAGTTATAATTTCTGTCACTCTGAGTTGATATAAAAATAGGAGATGTAGTATGATTTCAAATGAGACAACTATCCATCAGAGACCAAAGGACGTGGATATAATCATCTATATAGATCACCAAACATCCTTCACAAATGAGCAAAACTCATATCGTATAGTAAGCTATAGGATGCATCGGAATGACAAAATGTGAAACTATTCATAAGAGAAAACCAATATTTTGATTAAACAATTAACGAAAAACAAATATGACTGTCAGCAACCAACGGCAACAACTAATTATATACAGAATCATGACTTTGGACAGGAATGTGGTGGGGTTTAAACATGTTTGTGAACGCTCAATCCGCCCACTAACCTGGGACAATGACGTAACAGCACAACATAAGAACTAACTAAAAATCAGTTGGAATGGGTTTGGGTCAAATTGGCATAACTTTGAAGAACAAAAACAACTAACAAAATGACGAAAAGACAAAAATACACCGATCTGAGAGTACTCGCATTTAACGAAAGCTAGTTTTAATTACATTAAATAACGAATAAATATGTCTTCATATTGAGTATAATATCAATAAGTACACATCCAATGGAATTAGTGTACAGACAAATGACGTCATAA